TGACGACAGGTCCATATGACCAGGATCCTTCCATCCTTTTCTCGGACTGGGACCTGTTCATATACGTTCTTGGCAGATGATCCAGAAGTGGTTTGCCATTGCCTTCTTCTGTGTGTGAATGGAGTAATTGTTGGGATGTCACGGAGAAACCGGGGAAGCCCCCGGAGGAAAACTCCGTGTTGCCTAGACCACGGCCTTGCCTTAATTAATGTACTTGTATTGTTGCAATCAGACCGTTTTCGTCTAAACAGTTCGCTGGCCACACCCGTGCTATATCTTAACACCAATCACTACCCAAGAAGCAAATTTGTTTCACCTGTAGCGAACATGGTAATGGAAGTGCATACGTAGGAAACATTCCCCATAATTTTATATATTCAATCCAAATGTATTTCCTTTATATTTCTAACTTCACTTTGAACGATATTTTCAGTACTTCCTACCTCTTTTTAACATCGCATCTTTGTTCGCACTTTGAAATTTCATCACGAACACAACCAATAGCCAGGCAATTCCGTACACGATTTCCAGAAGAAACATATAGCAAGAAAAACGTGTATATTTTGATTTAAAAATAACCAAAATAGTAATTATTTGCTGATATGTTCTAGAAATATCTTTGATATGATTTAAAATATTTATATTCATCTGTCCTAAGAAGCCCAAGTTAAGCACTTGAAGTTCAATGTACAGGTAGATTCCCGATTATCCGACCTAAACGGGACCAAAGGACGGTTGAATAATCGAAAATGTCGGGATAATACGGAAGACGAGGCTAATGAAAAAGATAATGGTAAATATGAACTCAATTTACGAAGTAATTCACAAAGTCATATTAAATTATAAACCAAGTGCTTTGTGAAGAAAGGAAAACAACGTGAAAATCCTTAGTTTAACGTTGATAATGTTACAAGGGCATTTAGTTTATCTTAGAAGGATATAGTTTCCATTTAGTATCACGGAACAAACTTCAATGTAGTGAGAACTTTGTTTCACTCTGAGCATTTAGGCCAACATCTGTCAATACTAGGTTATATTAAAAAGTGTAATTTAAACCCTTTAAAATTCAATGGTAAGTATATATACCACCTGCTTTAACGGCCAGTAATGCTGAGTTTCATAACCTTCTCAGGCTGAACAACAATTAACCTTTGATCCTTGTAATGATAAAGTATGGTTTTCTTTGCGGTACGGACTTAATTCTTGCATGTTATTTCGATGAGCTTTGGTTTTAAATTAAGATTATCAATAAAGTCGACGTTACAAGTTAGGGAAATTTAGGGATCGTCTATATATTTCCTTTTGTCTGCCGGACAGCTGGCTAGTAGTCAGTGTGTATCCGGAAGGTCCTGAGACCGGTCATCTCGGCACACGTTTACTTAGTTTTTCTCTGTCTTCAAGCAAATGCTGAGATGTTTCCCAAGTTCCAAGTTGCCACTACATGCTTCTCGTGCAGCCCTCCCTATTTAAATTTATTAAAATTTACCCCTCAAGCTGATGCAGCTAAATTATTTACTTAACTTTCCAATTTATAGCTTCAGAATTTTCTAATAAGCAATTCAAATTTTCCGTCGTTTCTGCTAGCAAACTGTCACTAATTATCGTCCTAACGTCTTCACTCTTACTATACTCTTACCGGAAAGACTATTGTGTATTCATATAGCGTAAGAATACAGTCAGAATCAAACACAAATTTGCTGTTATGTAATTCAATCCATACCCATACACCGGTTTCTTTCGTGTTAATTGTATTTCTCAATCACATTCACGTATCTTCTTTAACGTGCCACTTCTCAGCTCATTATATTCTCTATCTCGCATTCTCCGAGACTGTTCCCACAAAGGAAAATCTTCTCTGAGCAATCCCGTTCCGTTCTTCTTCAGCTGAGGAGGAGGTGGGGGTGGAATAAATGTGCCTTCAGTTGTGAGGTTGGGCTCCATCAATACGAAGTGCCGGCAGGGATACAGGCTTGGTTTCTTCTAGCTGCAGTGGCAGAAGACTTCTTGAAACTAGTTCTTGCTGCACCATGGGACGTCTCTAGAGACCTTACCAGGCTTTGCGTGGGCAGCAAGAAGGCTTGACTCCCTCTCTCCTAACACTGGAGTGAGAAACTGTGTGTAGTACGCATGTGCATATAACACTGCTCAGGGCATTCATTCGATAGTTTAACAAACAGCGGAATTTCGTTAGAAATCTCAGTGTGAACTCGGAAAAGATTTTCCTTAACCGGAAATTTCCCTCTCTAACAACCAAACAAGTTTGAAATTTTCTGAAGGGATGGCATCACTGAAAACACGAAGTGTGTCAATGTTACGTCCCCACACGAGGCTGCCTGGAAGTTTTTTTTTCGATAATAACCTCCACTTCAAATAAATTACTTGCCATGTGTCCTCACACAGACTTGTCTTGAAATATTTATAACCAGATCTGCGAAATTATTTGTCAATTGTATGTTTTCGAGGTAAAAACTATGTCAGATACGAGATGTTGCAGAAGAAAATATAAAATAATATAAGAAGCTCACATTTTAATTTAATTTATATTTGAGAAAGTTATGTTAAAGATAATGAAAACTGGCAATTTTTTTAATTTTGCCAAGAGTGTATCTTCGTCATTTTAAAATAATTATTATATTTGTTTACCGTCAAATCACAATAAAATAGTAAGATAAGATAATTAAAATGATTAAAATATCATCTTATGTTCCATATCGAGCATTCGATTTACATCGGAACATTCACAACATGTTTCGGTTTATCAAACCGTCATCAGGTGTAAATTATAAACTTTTAAACCCAAATTACAATTATTTATAGTTTTTACAATTTTATAATTTTATCATCTTTCTCAGTATATTTTATTGTGATTTGACGGTAAACAAATATAATAATTATTTTAATTAATATCACAATATGACGCAGCTATACTATCTTTGTCATTTTGTCCAACGAAATAAACTATTCTTAATCCAAAAAAAGAAAAATTTGGACCATCCTGGTCTGAGCTGATGACACGACGTTTTGGGAGTTAGTTAGCTTCCTCGCTCACTGACAGATTTCATATAATGCTCCACAACAAAATAAGTTTAACAATAATATAATGGTTACGTGGATATTCAGCATAACCTGAGACATGCTCTAATACAAATTGCCTATTACTTTCCTTCGCGATGACCATTCGTGGAAGAGTGGCATTTGGTGCGAGCATAGTTTACGTTTGTATCTCAATATTTTATTGTGTAACTTAAAGAGATTTATTTCTCTTACATTTCTTCACATTTCGGTTCTTCTTTTTCAACTTACAAAAACGATGACACTGAGAAATACTTGAAATCATGGAAAAGTTATAGCTCTTGACGAAAAATGAAGACAACTCAACGAAAATGTTCAGTTATCAGATCTAAGACACCACATGACAAATGGTATGTCTTTTGACTGTCTGAGCTTTGTGTTATTTTTCGCCTCCGACAAAGGGGCACGGAACAGATTTACAGTGCAGAAGCAGTTTCTGCGGAAATATATTTTTTTACGCTCTGTAAAATTTTGGTTCAATATTATTGCTTTGTTTGCAAATTAGTTGGTGGGTTTAAAGTTCATTGAATCGTAATAATCATTCGCGAGTGTTGATGTCAGTACTTAAAATATGTAATTACAGTAATTCAACTAAAATTTTGATACTGGTACTTTCTCCATAATAGAAAAATATATTAATTGTTTTTGCCAAAGTACAGAATCCCAGCAACATATGGTCATTTTATTATTAGTAACTTCCTAGACAATTATTATTTTATTTTATGTGCCAATTCAATTCACACAAATTCAGGACTGATAACATTAGTACTCCCCCTATAAAAACATTAAGGCTACTAAGTGTTCCGTTTTATACACGTACTTAAACCGGTTGTTAATTTGTGCAGTGTGTTTTAAATTAACTTCCACACATCATTTTAAAATAAGCTTCGCTGTTCAAATTACAAGTTACTGAATATAATAGAAGATTCTAATGGTGATGGAGGCAGTAAGCACCTCTGAAACGTCGGTCAACTGCTACGAGTCTACACGGCGCAAGTTCTCAGAAGGATGCTATGTTCATAGTCGCCACCGTGATTACATGAAACCTCATTGGTAACAATATAATTTACAATGTCTTAAGTATACTGGGAACATAAAAAGGGGACCATGTGCATTCACTCTGAAAAGTCTTTGAACCACGTATATCCTGAAGGAAACATGTAATCTGGAATAAAAAATATATGAATATATTTTTCTTATCTGAATGTTCTAGTCTGAACAAGACTTGAAATCTTAAGCCTACACGGAATTCTTACTTTACCAATATGTCCTATGTTTTGTTTCGTCTTTATCAGCACAGCGAATTAACAAAATAACCTTACCCTTCAATATTTACTCCCAAACATTTCATCAGTTCATGCACTAGCATTTATAAATGAAAGGTTTAATTTTCTAGTGTTATATTTCTAAATCCATATTCACGATAATATCATAAATATACTTGAAATATTCATGATGGAGCAGTTTATTTCTTGTTCTGTTACAGTTGAACTGAAGCCTCACACTAGCTGTCTTCAATCACCAACAATTACGACTTTTTCATCTAATAAGCCTAAATGTAGCAGTACAGGCATACCTCGTTTTATAGCGCTTCGCAGATATTGCGTTTTTCTTCAAAATTTAAGGTTTGTGGCAACCCTGCGTCGAGCAAGTCTATCGGCGCCATTTTTCCAACAGCATGAGCTCACTTCGTGTCTCTGTGTCACATTTTGGTAATTCTCGCATTGTTTTTTTACACATAATGCTATTGCACACTTAACAGACTACAGTAAAGTGTAAACATAACTTTTATACGCACTGGGAAACCAAAAAATTCGTATGACTCGCTTTATTGCGGTGGTCTGGGATCGAACCCGCAATATCTCCGAGGTATGCCTGTACCTGCGTTATTGTATTGAGTGAGATAAGAACTCTTTAAAACCCAGTGGTAACTATATCTCCCACGTGCTTCAAAAATCAGCAATACTTCGTATTGTATTTTTGTGTTTTGTATAATTCGTATAATCACTGTAAACAGCGATTATGTCCTTATATAGCAAAAACCAACCGGTCTTTGTAATGGTGAAGTGTTGTTTTATTTGAGGTATCGAAAATAAAACACAATACTGGACTTGAGTCCAGTATTACATTTCTGTTCAAAACACAGCATCTCGTTTCTCATATCTCCATTTTATATATAGAAACTGGATTAAAATATACAGCGTTATAATTTTACCTTTTGTTTTGTATGGGTTTAAATTCGGTCTCGCATATTAAGTGAATAACACAGCTAAGGGTGAGGTTTGAGGTTCTCATGGTGACAAATGTGAACACAGCTATTTTTCGGATGCTACACTGTACAGTCTGGTAGATATTGACCAACGTTTCTGAGGACCTTACTACCTCCATCATCGGGGCGATGAGAGAAGATACTATTCAGATATCATGTGGAAATAGTTCTGATATTCATGATGATGCAAGAAATACTAAAGAAGTTGATAAGAAGGCTGAGAGAAAGTTAAACTATTCAATAATCCTCAGATATAAACTGCCTTCAGTAGTTGAAGGTAACAGTTGACCATCAGTGATCATAATCCTAGATGTTCCCTGCCCTAATGCGGGCAAGTAGATTAATCACCATTGACCATTATACTAATCATACATCCATTACAACAATCCCATTAGTATGAGTGTTCATTATATCACATCAAGGGACCAGTGTTTGATTATATGAGTCGAAATACCACTGCCTTAAACTAAGAAACTTCTATTTATTTTCAATCAGAGTTTCTACTGATTCCAAATTTGAGTAAAAAATCTTCGAATGTAACACAACTTTTTAATAAAATTATAAAATAGGAAGTTTCATTGTTTGTACCAGTTAATTACGAGGCGCGTCCACAAAGTAAGTTTCCCACTCGTCCCACAGCTAGCAAACCTTATATTGCGCGAAGCGACTGTGCGTACGTGATAGAGCAATGACGTAGCATGGCACATGCACTAACGG